AAAAGTCGGTGATATGATCTTACTCTCGAAGTCAAGTCGTCCCCGAGCGTGGAAATTTTTGCCCCTTCCTTATTTGACCCGCTCAATAATTCTTTACTTGCACTTTCTTCGCAATTTCCTTGATTTTTCTTTAGAGCTTATCAATCTTTCTATTGTTAATTAATCCTTTGATTTTGACGTTCACATTAATTATTAGGAGAATTTCAGTTTAAAATCAGGGATGGGACTTAATTTCAAATCAATCAAAAAATTCTAAAATTACACTGCAAGACTAATGTATTAAATTGATATTATGTTTTATAAAGAAAAGATCAAAATGTTCTTAAAATATTGTTTTTGACCTCCACATTAATTATTCGTTTGGTCTTTCGTTTGTACCAATATCTTGTTACTTGATAGTGAGCCCACCAGCATTGGAGATGGTAATTGTAATTAAAAAAAACATACAAACTAAAAATAATTCTTAAATGGACCCAGTGTATCATATTATTCATGATCCATCTAATAAAAACATGATATTTAGATGACATTAAATATAAATTAATTTTTAAATGGGCATTTGATTATAAAATAAATTTATTAAAATAATAATATATAAGATTTTATTTGATTGAATTAGTTTTTCAAGAGTTGCTAAGAACGGACTGTACGGAGGTTGTCTTTCACTGATACATTAATTCATAGATGAGAAAAAAAAAGGAAAATAAATTACTTGATGAGATAGGCAAAAATATGAAAATAAAATTGGCAAGCATGGGTTACTTTTAAGAACAAAACAATTATAGCCAGAAATATATTAGAATTCATGTTAGGTCACAAGTTTCTACCATTTGAATTGAACCTTTTGAACAATTATATGATAAATACTCTTAAATGTGTTCTAATAATTAATGTCCTTATTTAAGTTGGTTTCATTTTAATTAGTATTGAATCAATTCCCATCAATATTATCCATAAACTTGATTGAATGAAGACCAATCATAAAATTAACATAAAACATGAAAGGAACATATATAATTGAAATATTAAAATATATTCATAAGGAGCATTCGAAACAAATAGTACAAAAAAAATTAGTTTTCTAATTGAGAGATTTTAATTAATTAAAGAATAAAAAAATTAATTACGAATAAAACAATGTTACAATCCCCAATCATATAGCACATATCACAAGTAATTAATTAAATAAGTGCTACGAACCCAGGAGCCTCATGTTATAACAAAATTCACACAACCTTTGAAGATTCCTAATATTACCTTTTTCTGCGTTGAAAATATATTAAAAAGGTTTTAAAATCACTTAAAATACCATCACTTAGTACTATTGTTAGCTAGCTAGACCATAAATTACTCGAATCAATTTGCTCCCCCCCCCCCCCGGAAAAAAAAAAAAACAAAGAATCAATTTACAAAAGCTTATTCGCAAGGATTTTTACCTATATTCAAAGTTTGAAGACCGAAAAACTCTTTAGCTGGATAGGGGTGTGTGTGTTATTGATTTTGCAGATTTGATCTAGTGAGTGATCTCACTCCCTTAATGAATGTCCTAAGCAGATTTATTGAATTTTATCAATGATTGAAAATTAACAAGATATAGCACAAAAATTCTGAACAATTCTCACGGTTAGAACACTCCTCATGTATGTCGTCTCCTCCAAAAATTAGAATAGTCATTAATCTGATTTGTGATTTGATCTAATTTAATATGAGAGGGGTGATATTTGATTCTCTCTGAGTAGCATATGAGAAAATTTCTGACAGCCATTCAGTTAAATTAACGGTTGTTATAGTGTCATGTCATGGGACACTCAATGAATGAATTTGCGCCACTTACCTGGTGCAAACCCTTCATGACAATAGGAAAATTTGATATAATATTCACAGCTTGTAAGTTTCCACGATGTTTCACCTTTCTCATTTTGCCGTTTAAGTTATTATAATATATATATATATATATATATATATTTTACTCATAAGTATCCTCCTATTACATGGAAGCAATCCTATTCGAAGCATAGTCGGGATACTAAATGAGACACCTCTCTCAATAGGAAATCGAGCCTTGGCTTGCCATATTTATCAAGTTATAACATTAATTATACTATTATTTACGTGTTTTATATAACATGTATTAATAATTTGACTGTGTTGACTTGTTTTGATATGAATAGTCCTTTTTGTTTGTTGCAAATATTAAAGCACTAGTATGAATCAATCTTTTCCATAAGTGGAGAGTTTGAGAGGAGAAGCCAGCGTGCTGTATAATGAGGATTTATTATTTTAGAATCATAAGCCGAAGTCTAATTGAGAAAGTAAATCAGATGATAACATCAAATTTGTCATATATTCGAGATATTAAATCACATTAAATTAACAATAAATACAATTAAACTAAAGAAAACACTATTCCCTCCATCCCAAATTATTGACACTTTTGGTGGAGATTTAGTGCTCCAAAATATAAGACATTTAGACGAAAATAAAATTTTATTAATGATATTTTTCAATATTATCCTTCCTATTAAGTTTTCTCTTTTTAATGTTTTTTCAAAATGAAGTATTAAATGAAAGACTTTTTAAAAATTTATATTTTTATTTTAATAAAATGCAATTGTAAAGTGTATTTAATAAATTTTATTAGTACGTGTAATTTTATCCATAAATATCTTATAATTTGAGATGGAATGAATATATTTAAAGAAATGTCAACAGTTGTTGTCATTACTAATGCTACTACGTGTATTCATTTCAAAGGGGGATTAATTGATTATAGCTCAATCAGTAGTAAATATGAGAGGGAAGCCTCCTCCACACCTCCCTCACATCTCTAGATTTAATTTTTTTATTTGAATTTTAAATTTATATTTATTATAATAAAAAATATAAAAAATTATTAAAAAAAGTTTAATAAATCTGCTCACTAATTTAGACAATTTAGATTTAATACAAATATTTCAAATTTAATATTAAAATTTTAATAAATTGATTGCTTTGTTCAAAGTATATCTGTATTGTTCAGAGTATATTTGAATAGTCAATTTAAATTTTTAACACTAAATTTGAACTATTCATAATAAATTTAGACTATCATATTGATGAGCATATTTATTAAATTTTTTTATTATTTTTATATATTTTATTTTAATAAAAATAAAAAATATTTACTTTAGATGGTTTAGATTCACACTTCTCATGGAAGGTGCGGAAGAAGCTTCCCTCAGAAGAGGGAAGTGAACCTTGCAAATACAAATGCACCTAATTAAGTATTGGAACTAAAGAAAAATGTGTGGGCCCTACCCCTTACTTTGGCTTGATTAGGCTTGCTTAGAAAATTTAGGGATAGGAATAGGCCAATTTAGACCAAACCTTACTTAAATAGATCTGAGCCTGATCACAAAAGCTTAAGGCTTAAGCCTAGATACATGATTTTTTTAGGCTTAAATCTAAGTTTATCACAAGTCTAAGGGTCCGTTTGGATTTCAGTTGGGTATAATAGATTATGAAAATAATTGATTAAGTGGTAGATTTTAATCATAATTGATTATGTTATAACGCAATTTGTTTGGATACTGTTTTTCTAAAATTGATTTTAACAGAATTGAATATATTTGAATAATTTAATCAAAATTAATTTTTACCTATATAAATTACTATATAATTTAATTTTTAAATATCAAATATTAATTTTTTAAATATACAAAGTTTAAATTTTATTAAGGAAAAAAAAGGAAAAAGAAGAGAGTTTAATTTATTTTTATTAAATTATGTGCATTTTTTGTAATTTTTTCCTGGGCTTGTTTTTGTAATTTTCCCCAACATTTTTTACAAACGTTTATCAGGAAGCTGATCGAAGTAGCTTACGGTAAAACGCGCGTATGGGGTCAAAATCGATTTTCACCTTTTCTGACCGTTTGGCTAACTTACTGAAATAATCGATTTTGGAGGGGGAAAATCGATTTTTTCCCCTATCCAAACACACTCTAACTGAGCCTAAACCTTTTTGTAGGCCCTTAAAAAGGCTTAAGAAATAGGCTTTAAAGTCTATTTAAATCAATACTAAGGCTCAATCATTCAACTAAAAGAATATAAATAAAATGCATTTAATATATAAATAATATATATTAAATAAAAATGCCTAAATTTATAGATTAGGCTTGTAAGCTTACAAGCCAGGCCTTGAAAAACATATGCTTATTTAGCAAAAGAGACTTAATTAAACAGGTTAGGTCAGACCTCAACCAGGTTAGGTTGTGGGTTGCTTGATAGGCACTTGGCCTATTCCTACCTTTAGTAAGAATGTTCCATGGCTTTCCATTTAATTTTCTTATTTCAAAGATTTGTGGGTAAGTTAAGAGGGCTAATTTTAATTAATTAGAAGATTAATTTATTTATGTTCAAGCCCCTTCAAGAGTGAAGAAGAAAATATTTCAATTCTTGAAGTCCCTTTGTGCTAGAAACACCTATATCCGTTACTTTTTTAGAGAGGACAAAAAAAAGATTAATAACAATTAGATTCTTCATAAAATTTTTTTATAAAAAATGAGTTGTAATTATCAATTTAGAACATTATAAATAAAAATTTCAGCTATAAATTGAGAGTTGCATATAGAATTTAAATGTCTTATTTGTAATTATAACTCCCAATTTTATAATTATTTAAATGATGTTTGTAACATATTTTTTTAAAAAAATATTAAGTACTTAACTGAAATTAATTTATTCTTTTAGAACTTTACTCTCATGTTTTGCAAATAAAAAATTTCACAAAGAGACGTATAAATATTTACTACCAGCTCCAAATCCCTTAAATGTATGTTTGTGTAATTACAAAAAATGCCCCTTATCTTATTGGAACTTGTTAGCAATTTATAGATTTCATGGGATTTAGCCAGTAATTATATATATATATATATATATATATATATAGCTCAAAGAGGTTGAAGAGAAATAACACTCATTAAGCTCGTCAAAAAGCAAAAGAAAGTAAGGGATCAAGGGGTATGGCGACGAAGATGAATCACCCATATCATCCTCAGCATGCAATAGTGCTGAAAAGAGAAGGAGGACCATTCAATTGCAGTGGCTGCAAAGAACCAGGGTTTGGCCCAAGGTACCACTGCTGTAAAAGGAATTGTCACTTCGTCCTTCACGACCACTGTGCCACAGCTCGCCCCACAGACAGACCCAGAATCCATCCATTAATGGGTAACCGCCAGTTCGAGTTTCTATGGGAACCGCCGGGCGGGCCGAAACACCGATATTGCGATGCTTGTGGGAGGGACGTCCAAGGGTTTCTGTATCATGATCAGTCCAGACGCGGGTTTGATTTGCACCCTTGTTGCATGAACCTTAAGAGAACCATGTCTGATCCTCAAGGCAAAATTAAGCTGAGTCTTAAAGACAAAGTGCACCAGAGGTGTAAGAAGTGCAAGAGGAAGGATCTGGATAACGTTCGCAGCGAGGAGCCTTTCAGAGGTTGGTCCTATGTGTCTTCTTGTGGAAAGCATACCTTCCATGTCTATTGTGCGAAGACTTTGATTATGGACAACTGGGAATCGGGCTACTTCAATGTTAAGCAAAATAGAAGCTCGATCACATCGGCTACTTCGTCTTCTTCAAGCTTGGTCAGCAGAAGTGGGACAACAAACTCAAAAAGAAGTAAGAGCGTGCAGAGGGATAGAAACTTGATCACATCAGCCACAGGAAGCTCTTCGGCAGTGGATAGAAGACGCTCGTCGAGGGCGAGACCATTTCTTACTCTTGGGATCCAAATGGCTAAGATAGGTTTCAGCGTTATAACATCAGTTATATTTGGAAATCCAATTCCATTTATTGCTACTCTCATTGAAAACTTGGCAAACTAGAGTTTGGACCCATCTGTTTGATGCTTTGCATAGTTGTGTTTTTATGTCATGTAAGTTTGTGTGAGAACTTTGTGCGTCGAACTTTTGAGAGTCAATAATTGATCCGAGTCTCTGCCAATTGCCTACGTGGTCTCTTGGCACTTGTGTTGTACTTTTGCATATAATAAAATTTACTTTCTCCTTGTTTTTCTTTTTTGGAATCCCCCTCCTTTAAATCCTGGGTTTAAATACAGGTTAATATCTTCTTGCATTTTGATTTGTGTATGTAAAAATCATTCTAAATTTCGAATACGAGAGGTTTTTCAGAATTTTCACGGGTTATTTGATCCTCTGTAATTTCCTCCGGCAAGAGAACACGTTAATATGAAAACTTGCTTAACGCTGAACACCTAACATCGCCTTTTCTTTTCCTACCCCTAAACGGTTTTCCATTAGAAGTTAGGCAAAAGTCTTGGTAATCTGATCTCACTCGTTGCCCCTGAGCACTGCAAAAAAATCAAGTTTCGGTGGAGACTCTGAAAGTTGAAAGTCGCTGCTAAAAAAATGTCGACGTTAAAAAATTTCAATGGTAGTAAAAGTTGTTGCAATATCATTACAAGAGCTTTTGTTAGTGATTTTATCTCTGTCAATAATAAAAATTCCTGTTAAAAATATATAATCCACAAAAATTGTAACTAGAGGAAGTTGAGAATCGGTAGCAACATTTGGTTTCTGCTACCAATCAGCAGCAACAAACCATGTCACCTGCCATGTGGCACCCCACCTCACACTACATGTCCTCCCACCTCACATCACACGTCACCATATTATTAATTTATATTTTTATTTCACAAATTATTTTTTTTATGGTTTGAATTCATGACCTCCTTTATTTGTGCATCACCATTTTGTCACTAATTTATATATAGATTTTTTTTCACCAGCACATAATGTGTGTGTGTGTAGTTTTTTCTTTTATTTTTTTCCAGCTCAGCCGTAAGGCTCCCACAACGGGTAAAGTATACATATTTTCCTGTAGTTGGAAATTGTAAATTTCTTTGAAGTTTTTTTTTCCAAAAAAGAGATAAAAAATTTTATATTTTAAAAAAAATAATAAAATGAGTGAAAATGCTAAAAAAAAAGTAAACTTCCAACTACAGGATTTAAATCCATTTACTTATTTAGGAACAAAGTTGGAATAAAGTTATTAAACTTTTAGATAGAAGTAATGAATTTTAATGTTTTCATTGATTGTGGTGAAAGATGTTAAAGGTGAGTTATAAATAACGAGTATACAATACATTAATAAAAGAATGACTGTATTTATTAAATGGTAAACCGAAAATGAAGAAACTTTAAAGAAGAAAAAGAAGTGGACAAACAAATACGTATGCAAAATTGAGGACTTTTTTATATAAAAAGAAGGAAACCAATGGAAGAGAAATTTTAAAAAATAGAAAGGGAGAATAACAGTAAAGTCTCAATTGCATATCAAATTAATAACAGCTAGATTTTTAATAAAGAAATTTAGAAAACGAGATATAGATGCCAATTCAAAACATTATAAATGAAAATTTCAATTACAAATTAAAAATTTTCATATAAAATTTAAATATTTTATTTATAACTATAACTCTTTGAATTTATAATTAGTGTGCCAATGCTGGTTGCCACTTTTTGGCAAAGTGGAGCTGTGTTCACCCATAGCAGACGAAGGTTAGAAAACTCACCTAGGTCTCATTTAATTATTAGATAAAAATGGAATGAAACAGATTGAAAAAATAAAGATAAAATTGATATGGTTAAAATGAATGGTGAACTACATTCATAAGGAGGTAATTTAATTTATGGAATTGAAAATCATAACTCATGAGATTTTTAAATGGTGTGATAATTTTTACATTTATAATATATATTAATAAGTTTTACCATGCTTATTATAAAAAAAATAATATAATTTATTTTTGTATTGATTATTTCAAATTATTTGGTTTCATTCTAGTAACTAAATTGAGTCCTAATATCCATAAGCAAGCATATATAATTATTATTTTGCTTGACTAAAGAATGATTTAAAAATAGAGAAGGTTGGTGAAGAAAAAATTGGTACTTGCTTGTCCAAAAGGCGATCCCACTCGACGGTAAGAAATGCGGAATGGTCCCCATCATATGCCAAATCAAAGTCCCAAATCTCCGATCACGGCTTTCATGAGTCAGCTTTTCCAAGAACGCACGGGACAGCAATATGTTGTTGGAGTCCGATCAGAGGCTGCGGGTAGACTCTGCAACACAAAGTGTGGCTGTTTTCCACGGCGACTGAGAATCAAGGGGAGAGATCCTCTCCGGCATTTGTCAATATGAAGATCATTTTGGGGTTGAAGTGGTTAAACTTTGCAGCCTGTTTAAATTTTAAAGACAAAATTATTTCATTTTATTTTAAAAGTAAAATTGTTACAATAAAAAAAGTAAGATATTGGGTGTTCCTTCACAAATATTTTAAAAACTAAAGTAGACCTTTACTCATTTATATTTAATGTGCCTGAATCCTGCATGTTGCAGGGATAAATGAGTAAAATATTTTAGAGATCAACATTTAGAATATTTCAACATAAACGGTAATGTTCTTTTGTTAAATAAACTCAGTAACATTAAGATTCATTTTTTTTATAAAAATAATTGATGTGAATAATGTACTTTTTTTGTATTTGAAATACATACAATATAATAATATTTGTTATTTTGACTTCATGTCTATAACATATTGTCAAAAAAATTATCATTATTTCATCAAAATTGTATATAATTATATGTCTAATAACCTAAATGTGAGAAAATTAATCTGTGTAAATTGCTCAGGTCTGATAAAAGAAAATTGATGAAGTAATATGGATATAACCAAATAATACACACACACACACACACTTGTCAACAATATGAAACGTTCTACAATTGATACATTTTTATTTCATTTTGTAGTAGTAGAGTATAAGATAATTTTTTATCATTCAGTATAAATGACAATAAAAATGCTAGGTAAGAGATACAACAAACTTCCTCAGATGCTCAAGTCCATTTTATTAGCACTCTAGAACAAAACAAAATAGTATCCTAAGACCCAAAAATCATAAGACACCCTCAAGGAGTCTCCTTTGTTAGCACTGAAAAAGTGAAGAAACTAATTATATCCCCAAGTAATAACATAAGATTCCATCCTTTAATATTGTGTTGATTCATGACCCAAATAAATTGTACAAGTTATTCATGTTTACTATTCAATGTAAATAATAATTCTTCAAACTATTGCAGCAATATATGAAGGGCTTCATCTCATTTATTCAATTAAAAAGATGCATTAATTGTTCTATTTGAACAACCAATCATTATAGCACATCAAGTACTTCCAGAATTACTGAAACATTGGAATTAGGCTTTGTTCCAATTGTTGCAAAAAAAATCAATGGCAGGGGTCTACCTTAGACCAACAGCAGTTGTAAAAGCCACGTGATCATCAAGGATACTGAAGTTCTAATTGTAATTAAAGGCACAATTATAATTTATCAGAGACAATGATATATCTCGATCAAAATTTGCATCTCAATAATATAACAGTACCTTGCTTAAGCTGCAATCAGGTAGTTGTATTTAAGCTATGGTTTTTTCAGAACCAATTTTGAACCTGCACAAGAAACCTGATTGTCTTGTGATACAGCAGAAATAGTTCCGCAAGAACCAATTACAAAATACATCAGAACCAATTGCATATGCATATTAACATTGTCCCTTTTTCAAAACAGAATTGTTTAAACAAAGCAGAAAAATAATTACTTTAGTGGTCTAAATAAGGAGTTTTGCGGAAGCATAGCTGCTGAGATGGTCTCCAAAGAGTTAAAACCAAGTAGATTAAGACGGGTTTTCATTGAAAAGAGTGGTACATACGAGAAGAGTTTATAGTAACAAGCACTTGCAGCCAAGGGTAGCAAATAGCAGACACTTTTAACTTCCCAAATGACTCAAAAAGATGAGGCGAGTGGGCGGATGAGACATATACAGTGATTTATGTACCTAAAGCAAGGGCGGTAAAAATACTTGGCAGGTTTTGAAGAAATATATCTCCCTCAAGCACCTCTGCAAAACCCAAAGGAAACTATACAGCAGCTATACATATATATGTAAAAGAATTACTGCATTAAAATTATATTATTGAGATGCAAATTAGGTCCAATTGTTGAGATCCATCTTCTACCTCCTCTGCCCGTAATGTCCGGGATTGATCAACAAGTGTTCTCAAATCATTTCCATGGGGGGAAAGACCTGTAGACACAGGAAAGGATAGGATCAATACTTACTGCATTAAAATATATATTGAAAATTATACGAAAAGAAAAAGAACTCCAAACCTCGTCTTCCCTCTTCTTTGACTTTAGGACTGAGAGCTTTTTTCGCACAATAAAACCAATTCCCATCCCTTCCCGTCTTCTTCGCATTCCTCGACTGTTTCCTTTAATATAAAAATTGAGAATTTTAAAATCTCAAGTCAATCCTATCAACATCATAATGTAGCTTCATATGGATGAATATCATATCCCTAAGGGCATGGCAATATTACCACCTTACTAACTCCAAACACAATTCAAAAGCAGTCAAAGTTGAGTTCAGATGTAAGAAACAGAGCTTGAGGGATCCATGACAAACACAACATTATAAACCTATTGTCCAATTCATTTGTTATATTAACATTCCTAATAAAAATAATGCAATACAACAAAAAATTAATTAGAAGCTTTTGAAAATAGGTAACGGCCCCAAAAAGCAAATAGGATCTTGTGCCACGTTGTTGATTTTAAGAATTCCAGAAAAGATGAGATGTAAATTCTCAAACAACTTCAAAGATTTAAATGAACAACTACAATTATACAAAATCAGGATCCAAACCTTTCCAGTAAGTATCTCATATAGCAGGATTCCAAACATGCACCAATGCCAAGCACCTTATTCATTAATGGTTGTCAAAATGAAGACAGGAGATTTTGTTTTTCTTGCGGCAATTAAACTAATTTTGTATGACAGGAGAAAGATAAATGCAGATAATGAAGTAAATATATTCAAAATCAAGACAGAACTCAGCCCTACAGAGATGGGCCACGTTTCATGGGGATGACAGAGAAGATATCATGAAAAATATTTCCTCAGTGGTTTTGCTTAAATGGAAATCTCTAAGACCATGCACCCAAATGTTTCACTTATGACATTATGCATGAAGTTGCAAGAGTACAAAAATAAGGAGATGGTAGCTGAACAGCAGTTCATCATCTTCTTTCCAATATACGTACATGAGCATAATTTTGTCTTAATTCGTGACTACCAACCGCTCATGAGATCCTTTAGTGAGCTTAAATATTTGGCAGTTCAGAAAATCAAATATCAATTCATTTCTTATAGATTTAATTTATTGAGACCCACGGATTCTTTTAATGAATCATAAACTTTTGTTCTTGCAGTCCACTCCTCCAAATTGGGCTTAGTAGCAACACTGTAAATAAAAGGGACATCAGTGGCAAGAGAGATGCCATAAAGCAAATAGTGACAGAAAAAAATATAAAGCTTCTCAGAACATCAAAATTCAAAATACTGCCAATAAATATTTTAGGGGAGGAGGTTATATACCAAATGGAATATGAAAACAAACCTTGTCAAGTTTAATGCTTCAACGATTGCTTCATATGCCCTCAGATCCTATTTGTTACAGAAAATATAGTCAGAATAAGAGTTCAGGTTCTTGTATAAATTAATCACTTGATGAATAAGAATGGCAAAAAAGGAAAAAAGAAAAAGAAAACTCGAATCAACTATCCAAGAAAGTAGATCAGATATCGCATTGCCATTAATTGAATCATGAAATTAAAAAGAGAGAGCGAGAGAGAGAAATTCAGAGAAGTTTCCAGTAGTATAAGAAGACAACCACAGAAAACAGTTCTGAAAGAACTTTATAATCACTTTCTCTTATACTCTTAGTAGCATAAGCAGCCTAATCATGGACCTAGCCAAGAATAATTTCAGGTGCATGTACTCTATTGTTCCACACAATGAATTAGATCTTCTATTACTTTCAAATTGCTTGGCCAGGCCAAATCATTGAATGCCAAACAGCAAGCAGGAAAATTTTAAACCTTTACCTATTGCCCAGAAAGAAGAATCCGTCTTCACCAGGCAAGTAGCTCGTGCTGATACAGTATACCAGATGAAACAAAAAGCCCGTCCAAAAAATGAGAAAATACAATGAAAATATAATCACCGGAAAAAAAACTTATAAACCGAAAGGAAGTATGAAATGGGAATCCTAGCTTACATGGAGACATGGAGAATTGCCTTTGATGCCAACTTCAACGTGCTTCGACTGAATCTTGCTATGGAATTGCTTCGACTGAATCCCGCTGTTTGTGAAGATGAAGCATCGCAGGTTTAGGATTTTACTTGACTCGTGGCTCTGTACTTCCAATTGAAGAAGACGACTACTGAGTCTCCTTCAAATGCTAGATTTCCCAACAATTTCGAACCTTTTTCTGGATCAAGAAGCGAAAAAGAAAGCATTGCAAAGACGAGAGTTTCAGAGATAAAAACGAAGACGAAAAGACAGGAATCAGAGATGAATGCTGCGACGAGAAATTCAATATTAAGGTCTGAAAGTAAAATAACAATGATGCATAGAAAGCAAGGAAGAACCTGGCTGAGTAGAGGAACGGAGGAAGTCAAGCGACGCTGAGTGAGGAGTCCCTGGAGAAATTGAAACTCTCGTCAAATGGAACGAAACGATCAGATGGAAAAGGGTCGGCGGCTGGAGTCAGTGACCGTTTGAATCACAGTTGAATATAATAAATTAAGAAAATAATAAATTTTAATTGTGTTATATTGTAATATATTTAAATATTATTTTTTTTAAAATTAATTTTAATAAAATTAAAAATATTTAAATAATTTATTTAGAATTAATGTTAACTGTATAAATTACTATAAAAAATATTGCTTTTTTAAAATTAAATTATTGATAAATTTATATTTAATATTTTAAAAATAAAATATATTATTTAAACTATATATCTGATTAATTATAAAAATTTAAATTATATTAATATTAAAATTTTTAATTTATATAAATAAATAATTTAATATATTTTAATTTAAATAAATTTAATAAAAAAATATTTAATTTTTAAATATTAAATATTAATTTTATAATAATCAATGGAGGTGATAATATATAAATTAATTTTTAATGATACCGTGGATATTAGTCTTCCTCATCTGCCCCTCTTGGCTCTCCCGTGATCTCCATAGTCAATAAGCTTCAGGACATTTTCGCTTGGGTCGGAAGCCAGTCCACCATCGATCTTCCCCAGGTCGCCGTCGGTGGGAGCCAGAATAGTGGCAAGTCCAGTGTTCTTGAGGCTCTTGTCTGCCGCGACTTCTTGCCCAGGGGTTGTGATATTTGCACCAGGAGGCCTCTGGTGTTGCAGTTCATGCAGACTAAGAGGAAGCCCGATGGCACTGATGAGGAGTACGGGGAGTTCCTCCACTTGCCGGCAAGAGGTTTTAAGATTTTTTTAAGATTCAAAGGGAGATTCAGGTTCTTTTATCATCGTCATCATCATTATATGTAAAATTTGCATATTTTGTTTTTTTGTTTGTTTTAGCCTGATCCTATTTGACAAAAAGGTTAAGCACTGTTTAAAAAATTTTGACAACATATCTTCTATTAATTAATATTTTATTTAAATTAATTTTATAATAAATACTAAGTGAATGGTGGTGATTGACAGTAATTTATTTTCATAACTTTTTTAAAAATTTAAAATTTAAATTTTATTTAAAAAAAAGAAGAGGATAGTGTTTGATTTTATTTTTATTAATTTTGTGCGTAATTTTTTTCTTGGACCTTTGTTATAATTTTTTTGTATAATTTTGTAACAAAAGACGTAGAAGCTAAATCTTGCTGCTTTGGAAAAAAATTAATTTTTTGGAAAATTGATGTTTGGGTAATTAAGTGAAAAATTGATTTTTTTACTTAAAAAATCGATTACAATCTTTATCCAAATACACACTTATGCTTTGCTCGGTTAGAAAGAAAATATGGGAGGAAAGAAAATATGAAAAGAAAATAGAAGAGAAAATAGATTTTTTCCTATTTGGATAAGGAAGAAAAATTGAGAGGAAGGAAAAAGTGAAAGGAAAATAGGATGTGCGACCTGTTGTGTTTTTCTTCCAACTTTTTTTTCTAAAAGTAAAGAAATTTTGGAAGTAAAATTATTTTTCACCGTCTACCCTCTCTCTCTTATTTATTTCACGCTCTGATTCTCAAAATACTACTTAATTATATTAATTTAATTTTAATTAAACAGTTTGGCTTATAAACTTTAACTTTTATTGTTATGAATTAAAATAATTTAACTATTTAATTAAATAATTTAGCCATTGGCTAGATCAACTGTCCAGAATTACATTAATTTAATTTTAATTATTTAATATTAAAATATAATATAAAAATACATTTTTAACAAATAATTTAATTTTAAATTAATTTGATTATGTTAATTTTAATGTAATTTCTGTTTTCAATTTATTTTCACAAATATAATTACATGAAACATGATATATTTTGATATAAGAGTATTATAGTCATTATGATATCTATTTATTTTCTTTCCTATCTATTTTTTCCTGTCCATCGAAACAGGAGGAGTGATAATATTTTCTTTTAAGTTTTCTCTTCTTTTCATTTTTTTTCCTCTCAACTTTTCTTCCCATCCAAACGGATGGTTAATGTTAATGATTAAAAAAAATTTGAAAATAAAAGTGATCTTGAATCAATAAGTAGATTAAAAATAAATAAAAAATAAAAAAAATAAAGAGAAATTGACAATAAAATTCCTCTGAAATATATAAGTGACAATTTAATTTCTCAAAATGTCATAATTTTCCTGAAGTTCTTAGGAACTTTTCTATTATTAATAAATTTATATAAATTATCAACGTGCTCTTGTTGAAAATAAATTACCAAATTGCCCTTATTGAAAATAAATGATTTATGAGTTTTATTTAAATATTCATAACTTTTTTTCTTATATTTGCCACAATGTAACAGTAAAGCACAACTTTGCATGTTAAATTTTTTATTTGTTGTTGCATTGTTGCGTTTATAAGAAAAAAATTTATAAATATTTAAATAAAACTTGTGAAATCATTTCTTTTTAACAAGAAAAATTTATTAATTTATATAAGTTCAATAATGAAAGAAAAGTTTCTAGGGACTTCAAAAAAATTATGACTTTTCAGGGAATCAAATTATTATTTATATATTTTAGATAAATTTTATTATCATTTTTTAAAAATAAATTAAATTTCATTAATGAATGAAGAAAAATTTACATATTAACATTAGTCTAAAATCTATACATCAATGAGAGTCAATTTTTTTTAACCAATCAAATTGAAGCTATGAGATTTCTCTATATATATATATATATATATTGATCTCATTAGATAAACATCAAATTTGTCATATTCAATATATTAAATCACAATGAATAAATAATCAATACAATTAAGCTAAAGAAAATATTCAGTCCATTTTTATTTATAAGAGAAATCATCACTTTTAGTTTTTTTATATAAGCAAAACCATATTTTTTAATAGATATTTATTACAATTTTTTTAAATTATCTTTTATAATTTCATCATTCATAGCCAAAAAAATAATTAATATGATTAAATGAAAGATATTTTAATCTAATTATTTTATTTTAAAATATAATTAATATAATTAAATAATTTTTTTAAATTATGTGATACATCTTTTTTCTTTTATAAATAAAAATAAAGAGAGTACTGTATTCAAACAAATGTCAAGTCGTTGCCGTTACTAATGCTACTTGTGTATTCATTTTAAAGGCACTCACTGATTATAATGCAACCCTATAATAAATACATGTAGATCTAATTAATTACTCATCTTATTTATATGTTACTTCTAATTTATTTTGTAAGAATCAAGTAAAATTTTAAAATTTATTAATTTTATTTAAAAATTTAATACTTTATTAATTTTTTTATTAAATAAATATATTTTAATAATATATTTTTTTCTCTCTAATATTTCATGAAGAGTAAATGAAAAAATTTATAATAAAAATTTAATAAATTAACTCATAAATAGAATAAAAATATTTTTATATCATCTTATAAATAGGGCAAAAGGGAATATTGGCATCTCCCTCGTTTGTAATTACTATTGGAAGATAACCATAGATCTGACAATTAATGGAAAAACAAATCACCAAAAAAAAAAAAAGTGGGCGCAGGAGTGGAATGGACAGATGTACTGGGTGGTCTATTTTTTTCCTAGAAGTGACAGTTTGCTAAGCCCAAATCTAAATGAGCTTACTTAAATATCTGAATTTCTTTTTTTATTATTGATAAAATAATATACAAATTGAAAATATTAACTTTTAAAATTAAAATTAGATAAAAATAAAAAATAAAATAAAATAATATTTAACAATTTGAATATTCATGCTAGCAAGAAAGTCTGAAGGATAAAGGCTGGGTTTGGCTATGTAATTATTTTTTATATGTTAAAATATTTTAAACTTAATTCAAAAAGTCCAACCCAAATAAAAATAAGTCTGCCTGAATTACTAGCTATATTTTTTCCCTCCTCTCACCGAGGTTGCATTTTATTTGGTTGAACAAGGATTGTATATTTTCAAATGGATTTTTTAAAAGTTAAATTAAATATATTTTTGTTAAAAGTATTATTAAATAATTTTTGACATGTTATCTAGACTAAATTTTAAATTGCATAAGATGAAAGGTTACAAAATAAAATAAGGTTTCATTTACATATTTACAATATTTCTCTCCCTCATCATCAATGAACATCCAAGAACTTTATATCCATAATCAGCATTTCATATTCAAATTTCACAACAAATAAACAAATAAAAAATCTAAAAGTATTCTACATTGTTCAAGCCACAGCCGCATATTCTACTGGGTAGGGAATCAAAACAAGAAGAGACCACGGGGCTACATAATCAGACAACCATACTACCTATCCAGATTACCATACTCACTAAGAGGCTTGCTTCCAAGATTTGACTGCTGCCTTACCATACGAGATGGAAATGGCCCTTCTTTAAGGTTAAGCTATCCTACCTTACTCGAGCAAGCGAGATAGGTAGACCACCCTAATTGATAGGTGCACTCAATGAAGAAAGATAAAGTCAGTTCTTTGGAAGGAAGGAAGTTATGAAAAGATAACACACCACTTTGGAAAAGTGGAAGTGGAGGAAGTTTTGGTAAAAACTGCAGTTAGTGGTGCTAAAAATTAGAGTGTGGAGCCGTGGAAAAACTGTCTCTTTATGCCTGTAGAAGGGGAAGCCATTACACAAACATGATCTCTCATTCCGCTCTTCAACTCTAGACACACATCTCTACACAACCTCTCTAAACACTTCAACAACTGAATTTACTTGGCCAATGCAAAACTTAAACCTTGACCCTATATCATTTCAAGCTTGCTTAGCCTAACTCCTTTTATCTTTCATCATATTCAACACAAAACCCTTAGCGTGCCATGCATTCAGTAGAAAATAGTGAAGTTCTCTAGCAACCAGTAGAACACCAATTCTTAACAAAACAATAGTAACAGTGCGCCAGTGTTTTTCCTTTTAGTTTTCTATCTTTTATTTCTCTCTAGTTTCATTTTTTATCATTATCAATATCATGTATGATCTCATCATGCATGTCTCACATATTTATCCATTTTTATTTCTCCATTCCCTTTATTTTTA